GCATGTGGCGCAGCCGTGAGTTGTATAGGGACTGGGGCGTTCTGGTTGGGGTGAAATTTTTGTGTACGGTGTTGTTCTAGAGGGAGTTGGATCGGCAATTCACGGTTTTTTGGCATAACTTTCGGTAGCTACTCGGCAAACGCGCATGGTTCTAAGGGTTGATTGCTGGTATCCCTAGTTAGCAATTCGATTGTTGTCTCTTCTACGTCGGAATCTCTCCTTTTTCCCCACCTTGATGTGGAGTAAGATTGGCCAGGTTCCCAGCTAATGAAATAGTAGTATACTGTATACCGTATATAGTATACTGATTCTTGTTTAGGCCGTCAGCCGCGCGTTAAAATAAAATCTACGTATACGACTTTCTTTCCGCCGTTCCTGTTGGTTTTTCATTCCCCTTCTGCGCTTTTTCTGTGGCTTCGCTTCATAAGGTTAATTGATTGCGCTCAATTAGCTCTCTGTAGCGTGAAATCCGGCAACCCCTGAGACTAGGCAAAAGTGAGACATCTGTGGAGAGTATATCATGCACTTCCTCATCACAAGGCTGCGACCTTTTGTTTTTAAGGTTGAAAGATTTGGCAATTTGTCAAAACTACTTATTTGTTAAAAAAAAAAAAGGGGGGGGGGGGGGTTTGCTAGTAGATATTATCAACATTCACGGATTAAACACTCACCATTTGGCTGCAACGCGAGGCAACCTCAGTACTAGGTTATGAGCAATTTGTTTCTAAGAATAGTGTTAGCATCATTAGATGGTCGTTTCCGCTTCGCCGCAAGAATCGGGCCTGACCTCTACCCAGCTTAGCCACAATCACCCATGCCGTCCCATCTATAAGGATCTGACAGGCACTCTTTCTGCTCGCAAGCATATCAGAAAATATGCCCTTCTATACCCTTCCATCTCGTCTATGCGTTGACGAAGCCGCTCGTCTCATCTCCCACAAGGTGATACGAACACCTGTCATCACTTCGCAGTCCCTCTCGAGCAAAGCCACTGCGGTGTTGCAAAAGCATTGTGCTGAATCAAGTACACGCCTGGAAATATTTTTCAAATGCGAAAACTTTCAGCAAAGCGGCTCGTTCAAATTTCGAGGCGCGAGCCACTTCATCTCCCGCCTTGAAGACCATGAGCTGAGAAACGGCGTAGTGGCATACAGCACAGGTTTCCCCTTCACCTCCCTAACCCCTAGTCAATCTCGCTCACGTATTCAGGAAATCATGCGCAAGCCGTCGCATTAGCCGCCCAGAATGCATCCACCGCTCGCGGTTTTGCGATACCCGCGTTCCTTGCTGTGCCGCACGACTGCCCCCCGAAAAAGATAGATGCGACCAGGGGCCACGGCGGCACAGTCTTTCTTTCCGGTCTGGAACCTGAATCGCGCCTCACCCTAGCACGAAAGATTCATGAGTCGACTGGTGCCGTTATCGTGCCACCTGCGGACCATGTCGATATCGTCTTGGGCCAGGCTACTGCGGTTTCCGAGTTTGTGGACCAGGTTCAAGACATTGATAATGCTTTGCTTGATGCAGTTGTTGTGCCGAGTGGTGGTGGCGGATTACTGGTAGGCGCTGTGGCGGCTTGCAGACCGATGGGCGTTGTGGTGTTTGGAGCGGAGCCGGCGCATGGTGGTCCTGGGCTTGCGAACGGACTGCGAACTGGTAGGCGCACAAATCGATTGGAACAAAAACGCACAATGGCGGATGGACTGCGCACACTCACTGGAGAGGCGAATTGGGAACATGTCAAGAGCAGGGAGAATGTGGATCAGGTGTTCGCGGTGAGTGAGGATGACATCAGGCAAGCAATGCGACTATTGGTGGATCAGTTGGGATTCGTCATCGAGCCGAGTGCTGTTGTCTCTCTTGCGGTCGTCTTGTTCAGCAAGGAGTTCCATCAAAGAGTTGGAAGGATGAGGGGAGTGGTCAGGATTGGAGTGATCTTGACCGGGGGAAATATCGATACTGAGCAACTGCAGGCCTTGCTGCCGGGGATAGAGATCAAATGATTGTCACAGACTTGATTTCTCCTCCGTAAATAAGGCCTCTAGGCTTCGCGATAGGTGGAAGAAAGCACACATGATAAAAAGCGATTTTCGGCTGACCACCACCCATCAGCTTACATTTTTACTTCCTACAGCATACGCGCGCAAACAGCTCTACTTCCGCATAAACATCTTCCGCTATTCGGTTGTAGCGCTCAGCTCAGACTACGCCCCGTTAGTAGAACGAGAGTTCCCTCGACTGTGCCACATATACGCGTTCAGAGCTGAAGTAATGATTGGGTGGCTTAGCTCTTTGTTTCACTATAACCTCGCTTATGCTTCAGGCACTGCGGAGAATGATATGACCGGAGGTGGCTCATCGGAAGGTTGGAAATGTTAATGCGTTAGTAGATGCTGGGGCGTGAGTATTGCGGATATATAGTCGCATTGCTGCGGCATTGAGAAGGAATGACGAGTACGATTCAAACATGACGATCTCCCCAGAAGCCATGAGCCAATTAGAGGCTTCCGAACCCACCTTGAGTGAGAAGAACAGTGAATATTCTCTGAGAAAGTCTATCATAAACACAACGTCCGACTCCACGTCCGACACCGAGGATGCCTCAATTCAGCAAGACGGAGGCATGACGGCCTGGCTGCAAGTTCTTGGATGCTGGCTACTTTTTATGAACACATGGTACGTGTAACCTCAGTTTCTCACCCCCAAAAGACTAATACGGGTGAACAGGGGCCTCACCAATTCTTTCTCCATATTTGAGACATACTACGCCGAGACAAAATTCCCGCATGTTAATCCCTCCACTATCTCTTGGGTTGGCTCTCTGCAGCTTTTTCTCACTCTTTTCGTTGGCGTGTTTGCGGGATGGTTCCTCGATGCAGGACACCTCCGCATCGCTCTATTGACCGGAACGACCTTGATGTTCATTGGGATGTTTGCGACGAGCTTCTGCAACTTTTATTGGCAGGTCTTGCTTGCGCAGGGAATTTGCGTTGGCCTTGGTAGCGGAACGTTGGCTTTCACTTCTGCTTCTATCATCCCATTCTACTTCACTAAGAGAAGAATGCTGGTCGCGGGCATTGTGAGCACAGGGAGCAGTGTTGGTAAGTTCAATACCGGGCTTTGACTTACCAAGTGCAATTGCTAACCCTCTGCGCTTAGCCGGCACTATTTATCCGCTGCTGCTGCGCGAGCTATTCAAGAAAGTAGGATTTGGATGGGCAGTTCGCGTGCTAGCATTCGTCATGCTCACCGGACTTCTGATTAGCATTGCAGTGTTGAAACCTCACGCACAGAGCAAAAAGCATGCCCGATTTTTTGCCATGCAATATCTTCGAGACATTCCATATACCTTGTTCATCCTCGGTATGTTTCCCATACAACCTCGTCAAAATATGCTAACCGAGACAGCCTACGCGTTCATGGTTATGAGCACCTACGTCCCCTATTTCTACATCCAAAAATACGCCCTTGAACTCGGAATCGACTCGCAAACAACCTTCGTCATCGTCAGCGTCATGAACGCCGCTACATTCTTCGGGCGCTTTCCCTACAACTACCTCGCCGACATGTATGGCGGCATCGCAGTCCTCGTCCCTTGTTGCTTCTTCACTTCCATCATCCTCTTCCTGTGGCGCTTTGTGCATACGCTCCCCGGTCTCTTCGGCATCAGCGCAACTTTTTGCTTTGTTACTGGCGGCTTAGTTTCCCTACCGGCTGTCACGATTGCAAATCTTACAGTTGATAAGGCGGAGTATAGAACTAGGATGGGAATGGGATATACTGTTGCAGCTATTGGCGCATTGGTAGGATCGCCGGTCGCTGGAGCGCTGAGGCAGGGGGCGAAGGGTGTTGTGGCGTTTGAGGGGAATGCAGGGGAAGTGATGGTGAGGTGGCAGGGTACGTGGTTTGTTGCGGCTGTGGCGATGATGGTGGCGACGGCGTTGATGGTTTGGGCGCGGTTGTTGAGGGGAGGATTGAATTTGACACTGAAGATATAGGGACCATTTTACCTTGATATCCTTGAATGGAGGAATAGTCTGCAAGGCACGAGTAGAAAATATTTGAAGCAAGAACAACGCGAATGGCCTAAAATGGATTACAGTAGATAAAGTTCTCCTATCATGCAGAGAAAATTCAATTGGGCAGAAAAGTATAGATAACGGTTCCTGTTGTGAGGCAAAAGTCGGGAGTCCGCTTGGGATCAACGCCTAAAACCAATGAAGCATATCTTGAATCTCTCATACGATGTTGTGAGTGGATTTCAGGGTTGCGCACAGCACCGACAGACGCCTCGAAGTTTGCCCTTCTTGCCACCCGCCCGCTTGATTTACGGCGACCGGGATCGCGCGGTCGTAAAAACGGAAACTTTCTGCATTCTTCTATCACTCCTTTATCCTATGCGGGTGCCACGCGATTCTTCTACATCACCCCCACTTTTTCGTCAGTGCCTTGGTTGGCAGTCCAGGGTGAGGCTGAAGGCTAGCTGTTCAGGGGACTGTGGGGCAGGGTAGCAAAAGAAGAAAGGATAGCGGTAAGGTCACTAGTGTGTAAGATTTCTATATAAGAGGTGATACGTAGCACGCGGTCAATGATGTGAGCGAAGTAACATGTGATATAGTGAGGGTCATAGTGCCCATGATAGATATGAGTGATGTTACTTGCTTCTTTTATCAAACCGGGCCGCACAACTGGTCCTGCCGCCTTCAAAGGCAGGGCGTACCGGTAATCATATTCCAAATATTTCTCTTTTATTAATTACTTTCTTACTAGAACCGTGGATTGCATTGTATTCGTCTATTCGTCCCTTGATTACCAGTCGTTGGTGTAGCTACACCGCTGACTAAATTAGCGTTCTTTCCGCTTTTAACTAGCAATCGCAGCAATTAGTATTATTCTCTGCAACCTTCTAAAGCCTCCTTGAGCAGTCTGAAGTGCGGAGAAGTCAAAAAAAAGTATAGAGTAGCAAAAATTGCAAGTACCAACCCCTGCACTCGCAAAAATAGTCCCGCCGGGGATCGAACCCGGGACCTGCCGCGCGCAAAGCCACAATCACGTGACGAATGTGAGGCGGACGTCACTGCCTTTTGTTAGTTAGGGTTTCTTTTAAGAGAGTAAGGCTGAACCTACTACCACTAGACCACAGGACTTGAGAATTAATTATGAATTTTTATTATATAATAAATTTATATTGCAAAAATAAAGTCTTTGCAGACATAGAAGAAGCTACAGGTGAAATCCGTTGGGCGCCAGAAAAGTTTTCAACATGTGTCTGCAGGTAAAAGAGGGGCATGTGGGGGCACAGCAACTAGGGACGCCCAGGGCCGCTATTCGCTTAAAAAGATGGGTAGTACTACCAAACGTCCTCCACACCCTCAGAATTTAACTCTCCACAGACCATCATCGAGCCCACAAGCAAAGGAACAATGTATGGTTAAAAAGTTATTCCCCACTGATGAGTATATCTAACTCTACGAATTTCAGACTCGGAGTCTTTGAATAGCTATGCTCTACCCTAGGGACAAGCGACCACCGAGCCAAAAGCCTACCTGATCGATTCATCTAGCGAGATTGTCCAAGAAGGAGCTAGAAAGGATATACTGACTCGCTTCGAAGCTTGCTGGCGGGAAGAGACGATCGCATTCCGGCAAGCACGCTCGCAGTTACAATGCTGCTCGGCCTGTGCGCGGGCGAGATCCTCCGTCCACTACAACCAGTCTACATCGGCCTTTCGATGTCGCAAAGTCTATCACTCTTAATTGTGATGCTCGGGCTACTGCGACCCCGCATCAGTTTTATATGCGGGACTTTCGCGATAATTTTTCCGTAGGTAATGGGAATCAAGGCGACGCAGTTGCGTCGCGCATTCAACTACTCGGTGTGACAATATGCTCGATGCGCAAAATGGGCATAAGGGTGGTCTTGAGGCGTGCCACAAGTCGCGCCTTCCATCTACGCCGTGCCAAGAGCAACTTATTTCAGCCTTAGACCACGCCTGGGATCGCAACTTTATAAGCTCAAAAAGGTGGAAGGAAGAGTATGGAGCATCCTGATGATTACTCGATAGGACTTTTCCCAACGGGCCTCCGCCGACAGACTGATCCCACCACCCCAACGCCTTTCCGCCCTCACCAAAGCCTGTTTCATACCACTCCTGCTTCCATAATCTACTCGGGTATTGGTGCCCGATCCAGCCCACTACTAATCTCGCCCATAACACGCATCAAACCCGGTCAAATCCCACCACGCTCTAGGGTCGCCTAAAGGCACTGCCTTTGAGCGAGGCACCAGTGGACTGGATGGGTACGCTAGTGAAGTCATCACAATGGACTTTGTACGTTCATCCTACACGTACGCATACGGTAGACTGCCCGTCCCAGAGATAAAGTTTCTCGAGATGGTAATATTACATAGTCCGGATGCAGATGAATCGATATCCGGCCCGGTGCCTAGCACACAAAGACGTGGCAGATTTAGAGAAGAAGGCGCTGCATCAGAGGCAGAGATGTCATGGAGGAGGGTACAACGCCACGCTATAGAGCAAGAAGCAACTTCACACCGGATCTTTCCATGTGCAACTAAGAAATGTAAGAGCAACAATCCTCGACGTTTAGATTGTCCGCCCAATTCAGAGCAGGTTCGCAACGCTCGCGCACCACTTTTTTTTTTCTCCTCCTTTCCCTTCCGTTTGGCACCCCTCAGCAGACAACAGCTTTCGTATTAAATTCTCCAATTGCCCCTGCGCGATTGGTTTTTCTACGGCGAGCTGCACCCGCTTGGTGCTCGATAGAGAGCCTCATTCTTTGGGCGACGTACTGTGGATGTCTCAGGTCATGCATGTGCGAGAAGAGCACATTCGGCAAGGAATTTGAGGCTATAATAGAAGGATAGGGTTAGTGCTTTAGAGATCGAGTGAGGCTTAATACTGCGAGTGTTGCGCCAGAGACTAACGCACGTATTTATAAATTGTACCGCTCTCAATACTCTAGGAAAGCGTGGGCCATCCATCGCGTGAACCTTGCATTTTCTCGAATGCCGGGAAGCGATAACAAGATTAAAAGACGGCTCAATTAGGTGACCTTACTGCGCAACAGAAACAGAGAGACTCTGGAAGCTGTGCATGTTGTTAGATGGACAATCCCCGAGCGGTCACTCAACTGGTGCGCAATACGCTAGACCATTTCGGGAGGGCGCATGCTGGCCCAGCTGGCCCAGTGAGACGTATCCAAATGCGGCTGTTACTAATTTAGACTAAAAATCGGCCACACCATCCATGTCTCTCGGGGACGGAAACTCTACCTGCACACGTCCACCCACAATTCGGATGACTTTCTAGAATACCAGCAAAAGCGGGGATATCAATGCTCGCCTCTGCCATTATTGACTTCACCGGCCAGGGAGCGGTTTGTGGCGCTCGTCCTCCAGGAATTGTTGAAGCACCAGCGTTGACCCTGATTCACTTCTTTCGGCCTTTGGGCGGCGCATCTCTCCTTGACGGGCAATGGAACTCCAGGACTTCTACAAGTCCTCAAGCGTGTATTCCGAGATTTGGCACGGCTCGTCGGGAACGGTAGTGCGAGACATAAGCTCGTCGGCGACATGTGGATACGCTAGTGCCCGCCCGTCCAAATCCGATTCCACACATTCCTTCAAAATCCTGCACAGTGGAAGCGTCTGGTCCCGAGATCGGAATCGAACGTTAGTTGTGCCGATTTGGTGTTGCTGACTGTGTCGGGGGTTACCCGGGTATGCACTAACCGCTTGCGATGGATATTCGAAGAAAATCACGCCGCGTAGACCTTTAACGAATGCACTGACCAAGTTCTGCCGACTCATGGACGCAATGCGACCTCGTCGGTACACGGAGAGTAAGATATCGCCCTATAGCGAACGGCGAAGGGAAACCCGCAAGCGACAATGGTCTATTGTCCGCGAAACCACAGCACTTGTCGTTGAAGCAAGGCGACACCATGAAGAAATGTTTCGCACGAGAAAGGAAGTCCACGATGCCCGCTGATATTGGGGGCTTTTCAAGATATAAAAGGAAGACAGTACCGCACTTTTGGAGGACAAAAACATTCACAATCACCCAGTTACAACATACCACTCCTCTCTGCTCTTTACAATCTCACCTCCGCCACCTATCTACCAATTCATCAAGAAATCCCACCTCACCAACCCAACACAATGGCGCCTATTACCACCACGCTCATCACCCTCGTCCTCGCCCTCACTCCCCTTGCCCTCGCAAAGCAGATAACTTTCTACATCGGCTACAACAATGGGGACAAGATGACCTGGGAGCAGGGCCAAGACACCTGCATGAATGAATTCTCACTCCTCGCCGCCGGGCCGGGCCAAGATCACGCCGTTCCCTGCGACATCGCTTTCAAGACCAAAGATGGCAACGGCAACGAAGTCAAGCTCGCGTACACCAAGTGCGGATTGACACCTCCTGAGGTGTGGGAGGTGGACCGGGAGAGCGGCGCGCCGCTGCGCCAGGTGGGCACCTGCCATGACGGGGCTGATGATACGGGCAAGCAGAGCGTGGATGATTGCAGCATGTTCTGGGATTCGACTGCGTATGATACGACTACTGAGTGGACTTGCCCCATTGAGGTCTAAATCCACCATTGGCTGGATGAGGACGATGGAGACGAGAGGTGGGACCATGGGCACCTTGGACTGGGTTAGGCCTCAGCATTAGGGACGGCGTCTTTGAGTATTTCTTTACCTTCTTATCAGCATTCTGTTGTATTACCCTTTTTCGAACCACTATAGAAGGCTTCTTACTTGCATATTCTCTTTATTATAGACATCCCATTATATATTATCTGACAACAAATGCTACCTTTTTCTTGTCCAATCGATATTTGAAGATATGCTTTCGTATTTGGAGAAGCCACTCACGCAGGCTGATTATATAAGCACCTAACAATTTACGAGTGTCAGAAAGTAATATCGAGCTAGGCAATAGCAAATACCCGGCAGTTAACCTGACCTAGTCTGTAATATCACCGACTGTATTCAAGTTAAAGTGACTAAGAACTCCTCGATCTGACGTAGATATACAGCGCTGATCAATCGATTTGGCAAACTGGCACTGCGGGTTTGGACACACGAGGATCCCACGAAGGTATTGCTTTGGCTCATGGGCACTAACAAGAGGTAATATTGCAGAAGTCAATAATCTCTGGTACTTTTCCTATCTTTTCAGGTGTGATTTCAATGAACCCAGAGGGCCGACGCACTATCCCCATCTACGACCAGCCCATTAGGCGAAGCTTCGACTCCCACATCGTCCACAACCGCCAGTAGAGCACTTCCTACCGGCGACACAAACACTGGTGTCCACCGCTTCCTCCCCAGGCCCGCCCACAGCCTCTCCCTCACTTCTCGACAACCTCCACCACATCCCACCACAGCCAAACCTTCCGCTTCGGCACAATCTGCTCCTCCTCTCTCTCCTTTCCCTTGACAGTCTTCCACTTGCCGAGCTGAAAGACCCACGCCTTCTTCGTCTTCCCCTCAACAAGCTTCTCCGCCTCCTCCGTAACAATCCAACACCGCATCTTCTTGAAGTCGTCCAGGTAGTCGATGCCCTTGTTGAGGCACTTGAACCCCGTAGTCCCATTGTTGAACGCGTTCCAGAAGCGGTCGCAGTCGGCACGGGCGAGGTTGTGGGCGGTTGTGCCGTCGAAGCTCCACGCCTCGACGCTGATGTCGAGGGAGGGATGGTGCTTGGCGATGAACTGGAGCGGGTTGGCGCTGTCCCTGCTCGAAGAGGATTGCAGTGTGGTGGTGGGGAGGGTGCCCGGGTCGAGGCTGATGGTGTAGGTAGGGCGGGCGGGTGCGGTGGTGGTGTACTTGACGACGGTGTAGACCTTGAGTGGTGACATTGTGGAGATGTGGTATATGTTGGGATTTGGTATCCTGTACTTTTGAATGTTAGAGTATTTTTCGGGGACAGAAAGGAAGCGTGGAGGAGAGCGATTGGAAATATGTAGGTGTTGGCCCGCCAGTGTGTGTGTGCTAAGAGAGAAAGCGAAGCTGGGAGAGAGCGGTTGAGAATATATGGGTGTTGGCCCGCCAGTGTGTGCGCTGTGGACGCGAAGTGAAGTGCGTTCAAGTTTCGTTCACCACGGCAACG